CCAGTCCAGTTCGCAGGTGGTGCCTGTGCTGCTCTCATCCATGGAATTGGGGGTGGGGGGAGCCGAGCTGCAGGTTCGTGATGGGGGGGTGTGCTTTGGCTTGAGCAGCAATCCGTGGCCTTGCTTAGAGCTTCCGAACTCTTCTCTTAGTATGCAAAGTGACCAGAGAGGTGGTTTTAAACCTGCGAGCTCCGCCTAGCCAGACTGGCTTCTGTTGGTGACCCAGGAGACTAAATCCCTAACTCTGTGCTGGATCAGCAGAGGCAAGAGAGAAGTCTTCTGAAAAACAAGTGGTGATTTTTTTATCTTTCAGTATTCCGCAGCTAAAGCCAATTAATGCTCATGGCTGCTTTCGTGATAGGCTGGCCGTGTGTGCTGGCAGCTGGAGCATTGGTGAGGGGCTCCAGCTAGAGCCATGCAAGAGATGGGAGCTGTGTTTCGTGAGGAGTTTTAGGATCCTGTTGCTTTGCTGCAGCTTCTTTCGACTGGAACAGTCTCCCAAAACCAATTAAAACCTTACTCTGATTTGCTAATGTGCTGAAACAGGTAGCTGTAATATTGCTTATTTCCAAAGCTGCTTGGGTAATAGCTTCAAAATGTTTTTTCCAAAAAAAAAAAAAAGTTGGCTCCTTGACAGGGAAGCTTCTTTAATCACAGAATTTTTAGCAAAAATGATGATGGTGTGAAGAACACCTTATACTCCCCTATAATATAAAAGCATCAGAATGCCTTCCAGTCTTTATTCCCTCCAGGTGTGTTCAACACCCGTTCCACACAGAGTAAGCCCTGGGAGGGCTGCTGGAGCTTAGCCTTGCTGATGGCGAGAGGCTTGATACAGCCTACCTGTTGGGATGAGCTGGGTGTGTGAGTGTGTTGCTTCATTAGTGGTAGTAACGGGTTCCCTAATATCATGCTTTATATTGGTATGGCTGACTTCAGCTTGGGAAGCAAAACAGACCAGTGAAAAAGGACTTTAGGAGCTGCCTTTGACCAAAGCTTGGAGTCATCTTGGCTTGATTGTGTTGAGACTGACACCATTTTAACAGTATTTTAAATTTTGTCTCAGGATTCAAGGCTCTCTTGGCTGTAGCCACAGTGCTGAGAACCCCCTTGGGCATCAGCATGGCACTGGCCCAGTGGGATTTCTACAAAAGACGTAAAAAGCAAAGGCTGAATTGTACCTGAGGTGGACAAGCCTTGTCTGCTCCAGAGCATGCCCAGGAGCTAATGCATGACTTGGCCATACTGGCAGCTGAGCTGTGTTGCAATGACTTCCCTAAGGATTAGGATATCCTGTGCTAGCGCTGCTATGATGCTGTGGGTTCTGCCTAGCCCTGGGATTTCATTATCTATAGGTTTCCTACAGGCATATCTGCCCTGGCGCTGTGGAGGTGCCTTTGTTTCCACGTACCTTGCACATCTTTGGTGTGCAGGTGTATGTTGTTCCACTGATTGAGCTGCTGTGGGTCTCTGGAGTGGGATCTCTTGCAGGTAAACTGCAGGCTGCAGCTGTGGGGCTGATGGGGTGCCAACTCCAGAGACATGACAGCCACTGTGTTTGGGCTGCTGGCTTATCAGTGCAGAGCCAGCAAATGAGAGATCTTGACCATGGCATTAAGGCTCATCCGTCATCTTTCTGTTAGTCTGAGGGAGTGGAAACTCCTTCTCCCTATTTGAAATCGAGCCTGGCACTCCCTTTCTCACTCTGGTGTGCGTTGGAGTGCTAGAGGTGTCTGGTGCCTGACAGTGTCCTTGAGACCTCAGTGTGCTGGGGACACATCTTCATGATTGGGCATGGGCTCTTGGCTGAGGGTTCAGGTGAGCCAGGACTTGATGGTCTGTACTGCTGGCTGAGATTCACCTTGCTGTGTCTCTGTGCAATGCTTCTTGGGTCTGTGTTCTAGATCTACCCCAGTGACTTAACCCGAAGCTTTTAAATGGTTTGCTCTGTGGCACTGCACATCTATCTGCAGGGAATTGAACACAAGCCTTTCTTGTGTTTCTGATCTAGCAGGGTCCCTAGAAACTCTTAGCTCGTAAATGGAGACTGGGGTGTCTTACCAGGTGTCAGGAAGCAGTGTTTGACTCTGCATTAAGTGACCTGTCAGCTGGATCACACTGCTCAAAGAGCTGTTCATCCACTGACTGCACTGAGAAAGTGGTGTCCCCTCCGCTGCCGTGGGATCCTGCGTTGGAGCAGGCAAGGCTGGCTGAGAAGGGCGGTTGTTGGGTCACTGGTTTTCACACAGTGTGCCAGGTCACTACTGGGCCTGCAGAAGAAGGACCCACCAGTGCTCCTGGATGGGTGCCGCAGTGTAAGCAGAGGGGATTGCCAGCTCTGAGCCTGGGCCGTAGCTGCTGCTGTGCAGAGGACTTTCAGAGAAGCCTGAACAGGCAGTGTGTGTTTAACTATTGCAAAATCCTTCAAGATGGAGCATTCAAAGCAAATCCTAGCTGGGCTCTAGAGTGCTCCTTTGCTTGTCTTGGCTTGGGGATGCAAGAGCAGAGCAGGTTCTGGAGGACGCAGCCTCAGGTGTGATGTTTCCCTGTGCTTTGGTATTAACCGAGACCAAAGGATATGGGTGTGTTTTCCAGCTACACGTTTGCAAACTTTCACCGGACTATCCAGGCTGCTGAATGTTTTGGGCCCCGTGTTCTTTGGAGACCTTCAGAGCCCTTCTCAAAGGAGCCCCTGCTTTAGGGGTTCAGGGTGGAGGGTCAGCTTTGCCAGGGAGGGTGTAGAGATACAAGGGGTTGGCAGCCAGCTCCTGCGTCAGGATCCTTGCAGTATCTCTATGGTATCCTTGGCAATCTTAAGGTTAAAAGCTCTGTGAGTGGAAGGCATTTGTGTGGAAATGCTTGGCTGTATTCTTACCCTCTTCTGGTTTTGTTTGTGGCAGGACTGGTGCTGCCAGTTGTGGGAAGCATCAACTGCTAAATGAGCAGGAACGGGTCAGGCGTTTGGTTTGCCACTCGGGTTTATTTTTGTCTTGCTAGCACAGGCTCCTGGAGAAGAGCTTTGCCTCCCGCTTTAAGTGGTTCTTTAGTGGTAACAGTAGAATATGGAGTTTCACGCTTGTGCCAAAGCAGCCTGATGTGGCACTTTTTATTAAAGACTGGGATACTTTCTTAAATTGTGCTTCTGTGCTCCTCCGCTGCTTTTTATAAAGATGGGTGGAAGCTGGCTCTGCCTGTTTCCTCTTGCCTGGAGCTCCCTTTGAGTGCTACCTGTCTTACTCTTGGTTTGTAAATGCTCATGGTGCCTGCGGAGTACCAGGACCTTATCTGGGGGAGGGCAGAGCCTTTGGGTAGACAAAGATCCCGGACTCGAGCGCTGAGTAGATGCTAATAGCCTCAAACGGGCTGAAATCCTGGATGAATTGTTCAGGTCCTGCCTGGAGGCATCGTGCGAGTTGAAACTTCGGCACCT